AGAAATTAGATGCAATTTCACTTCGCCGGGTACTTTGCCAAGAAACATGTAAAAATGTTGTATCCGGCGGAGAATAAAAGATTTCATTAGTTCCTCCACGCCACATCTCGTCTGTATACTGACGGTATAAGTTGTATATTGTTTAATAATTTTTTAAATAAATTGACATCGTGCGAATAAGCGGCGGGGTGGGAATTATTTTGATATCTTGTGTTCATTATTTTGGTTAGCATGATAACATTTTATATTTGTGAAAAATTTGTGTATCGGATATCGGATTTGTAAGCATTGCGAGTTGCGCTTGTTTACTCGAGCGGTGTTTCATTCGGTGTCCATCGGACAAAGTTTGGCTCGTTTTTTTGTATTATACAGCCACCATCATGGCAACATCTAGTGATTTTTGTGCGGAGTGTGACATGGGGTAAGTTTAAATGTTTATTATTTATATTATTAAGTGTTTATGTCTTTTCAAATAAGAATTAAAATTTTGTTGTTGCTTATATCATAATGGGTCAAATATTTTGTTAAAATTATTGTATCATGGTAGGTATGGCACTTCTGGGAAAAGTATGGCACCCAGCCTTCCCTCTTGCTCGATCTTTGCATTACACATGGCCTCATATTGGAGGTCATGAAATGTCGCGATAACACCAATTCATTCAGGTGCGACAAGACCCCCCCCAAAAAATAATAGAAAAGTTTCAAAAAATTACTTTTTAAGAACACCTGGTTTGATAATAGTAAGCTCGGTTTTGAAACTAATTTAAAATTTGTAAATTTGTATTTGAGAGAGAGATTTTCTTACGCATCTGCACGGAGCGAGTTTAATTTCCCAAACCGGACTATTTGCGATTGGGCGAGCTTCTGCCGGGAGGTTTTAATTTTCTGGTGTTTTGAAAATCAATCCGACAAAATTGGTGGGTCAGGGGAAATTGTCGAGATTGATGAATCTAAATTTGGTAAACGTAAATATAACGTAGGACGTGTAATAGAAGGTCAGTGGGTTTTTGGAGGAGTATGCCGCAAGAGTAGGGGTTTTTTCCTCGTTGATGTGGAGACGCGTGACACTCTCTCTTTGCTTAAAGTAATTAAAGAGCATATCCACCCAGGGACAACGGTCATTAGTGATTGTTGGAAGGCATATAACTGTTTGGAGAAAGAGGGCTATCAACATTTAACTGTGAATCATTCATATAATTTTGTTGACCCCAAAAGTAAAGTACACACAAACACGATTGAGCGGAAATGGAGGGAAGCGAAGATCAAAGTGCCCCGCTTCGGCAGGAGGACATACCACTTCACCGGGTACTTGGCTAAGGCCATTTTTCAAATGAAGTACCCGGCGGAGAACAAAAGGTTCCATCAATTCCTCCTTGCCGCAGCTCGCCTGTATCCTCCGCACTGACGGTATGTGTTAAATGTATTGACAATGTAATTTGGTAATAACTTGACATCGTGGTAATAAGGGGTATGTGGTAAATTATTTTGGGCAATCCTAATTAAGGCAGCCGCGGAAAGTGTAATGGAATTATTTAATATTGTTCGTACATGCCGAGGAATTCAATCATTTGTGGGGACCTCACTGGTCGTGCTTTAATTCAAAATCAAAGGTTGCCTTTCTACAAACCTCGATGTCTCGAACCATCTCGAAGTACTACGAGATTTCTGAGAACTACGGCGAAATATCCCCAGGGAATGTTGTCCGAGTTTTGTTAGGTTAAGAAATTTCGTCGAGATATCGGCAACACGGACACCAGCACGGCGCATGTTGCAGCAGCGCCAAAGTTTCGTTCGGATTTTGCATTTATTCCTAAATTTTCAAATTTTATTCAACTATTTCTCCCATTGGTGTGTGTCCTACGTGCCCCTGAAGATTGAAAGGGGTAGGGGGAAAAAAAAAAAAAAAAAAAAAAAAAACGAAATTGGGGTGGGTATCTTACTTATAATTACCCGGCGGGGAAGTCTGATAACTGAGGTGCGACAACAGGAGGTTAGTACGTTTTAATTTGTTTTAAATGAGAACCGGCAAATTGCACATGTATATTGCAAGGAATATATATATAATAATTAATAAAATGCATGTTACAATGTGTTTAAGACTAATTTTACAATAACCATTTACAATAACCGCATTAGTTAAAATTATTAACTGTTTGACACAAGTTCGTTGGTTAATGTTATGCTTCGGTATTCAGGTTCGTATGATTACGAAAATGTTATAATGTAAAAAAAAAAAAAAAAATGTGTATCAGATATCGAGTTCGTCCGCATTACGTTTTGCGCTTGTTTAATCTAGCGGTGTTTCATTCAGTGTCCATCGGACAAAGTTTGGCTCTTATTTTTTATCATACGGCCTTTCTATTGGTGCCGTGATATAAATTTAGGCTCGTCTTTCATATAATTACAATTTGTATAGATATTTAAGTGGTATTTATTTTATTTAGATATTTACAGGTTGCTATTGACATCATGCATCCCCGCATCCCCCAACGAAGCTTCGTGAACTTGATTTCTCCCCCTCATCCCTCCCCCTCCCCCCTAGGGAATTAGGCTCTGTGAGGACCCCCTCCCCTCCTTTGGAAGGGAGGAGGGGGTTCCCCATCCTTTGGAGGGGGAGGGGTACTCCTCCCACGTTTGGAAGTTAGTCTCTGCAAGGGTGCGTCGCGGTCTTCAACAATTACCCATATTTGGATTGTACAGAGTGAGAGGAATCCAACAATACCAAAATCGTCGATATCGGAGAAGCGAAGGTAATATAGAAAATTACCCTAAAATTTGATGTGATGGCAATGTAAGACGCAACGATACGTGATTGATCATTGGTTCAGAAGTCATGTCGCCATGGCCCAGCATATTCAAACTGCTGCAAAGAGTG